GTTTGGGGAGAATTATCAATATATATCCCGGCAAGGACATGGTGAATCGAGTGGCAGAAATTAAAACTGCAAGCGGTGTGGTGAGGCGTTCGTTTTCCAAGATCTGTCCGCTTCCCATCGACGATAAATCTAGTATTGAAGACAGCCTATGATGCTTCAAGGCGGGGGGCATGTTGAGAATTCACTCTCTTTACTCGACATTCCCCTACTACGACTCTGTGCTAAGACGCAGAATAGAGAAGAGAGAGATGGCGAGTATCGGCGCCAAGAGGGCGCGGTAGCTGGTGCCTGGCACCACCTCTACGAAGAAAGTAGGTCAAGCTTCAAAGGGCAGAAGCTAGACGAACGTCGAAAGAAGAACAGCGCTTCGTTTTCTAATGCATTTTTATTTCTTTGATTTTCTCGAGTTCGTCAAAATTTGTGTAATTGTTTCATTTCCTTAATATTGTAAGAATAAAGTTTATTTTTGGAGTTTAATTATTTTGGATTTGATAACCAACAAATAAGGAAAACAAAATATACAGTCCACTGGTGTGTTATCGAAAAACAAGTCAAAACATCCCTTCAAGTTCAAAAATGTTGTCAAATGATAGTTTATGAAAAGCTAAGAATTGTAAGATCGGTTTTCCTCTAAAATTAATTGTTTAGGTTTTACAGCCTGTCAAAGTAGCAAAAAAGTCAATTTTCAACTGTCAATATTTCTAAAACAGTTGAACTTAGGGACTAAAATTTAGTACCAAAATGTATGGAATTAAAAACCCTGCGAACTGATGTATCACTTGACCCCCCTTCCAATTTAAATTTTTTTAGGGGGTGGCTCTGAGGGCTGGGGGGTTGAAAGGGGGGAGGTGAATTTTACATAAAAACTCATCCCCCCTCAAATTACAGTTGACGTGTTTCAGGGATTTTTTCGAAAATTTCTCTATAATAGGGGTGGGAAGTTTTCAAATTGACACCCTGTATAAACGGTACCTTACTATTCTGCATACCTGCAAAATCCACTGGCATGTTTCAAAATTCGGCATTGTCAAAGGATAACGCACACCTAACATGGGATTTTTGGGCTCTGTGGATTTTGCCCATTTTTTGATATGTTGTAGATGATTTAATTCTGAACAACCTTTAAATGGGACAAATTCTTGTAGGTATTACGGTCTTTGAGATATGAGCGTTGAAAGATGAACTTTTTGCGACTTTTTGTATGGAGAGTATACGAGATACTGGTGCTACTGGTGTTTATCAGTCAAAATATTGACAGGTTCACATATTTTACGTCACTAACAAATTAATGTCAACATAGGTTAAAGCCGGGACCGCAATGGGGTTAATGTTGATGCCAGTGCGGTTCCGGCCTTAGCCTATGTTGACATTTGTTAGTGACGTGAAATATGTCCATGGTCGGCGCACTCATATTACCGCTTTGAGCCAGCTTTTTTAGTTCACTCGTGACCGCTGATGGCTCTGCTGGTCTTATAAAGCTGAGGTTATGAAAGTGAAAATGAAACAAATACCGAATGTTCTGTGTACCGAATCCTTTATCGGAAATGTCATTGTCATTTGGCCTTGCCATATTTCAAAATTTAAATTTAAATTGTTTTTTGATTGTGTTTATTCTTGTGAAAAACTAGGGACTCGACAAACATCTGCAGTCTGCAAACAGTGGCGACGATGAATAGAGGCCCCGCCGCCATATTTTTGAAATTTCAAATATGAATACATAGGAATTATTGGATATAAATGGATATCTTTCATCAAAATTTGGAGGTAACGTATTTCTCTGACTAAAATTCAAATACGTTATTTTTAATTTTTTATAATAGACATGGATATATCCGAAAGGCATTCAGCCATCTATATCCTATTATTCATATCAAAAATTTGCAAGAATATGGCAGCGAGACCTCCATTGTCGCCATTGTTTGAAGAGGGTTGTCCAGTTACTGAAAAAATTACAGGAAACTATCAATAACAAAGTGCTATCTCTCGGAGAATGACCGAACTAGTATTTATAGTTCACTCTCAGTCGGCAGAGGGCGCTAAAATACGACATGATATGTTAACATTGGAGAGTCCAGTCTATTTACCCCCTATATTATATATTACTTATGGCGTATTCGACTACCCAGCGCTGGCTCCGATCAAGTTTGAAAAATAATGGTGCACTTGCACTGAAATCAAAAGCGGGTATGTGGCGATTCGATGGCGCGCTGGGTCAGTGCGAATTGTCAAAAAAAGTGAACTGGCTTCGTGAAAATCCGAGTTGAAGCGTTCGTGTGTGCCCCATTATTGCACTTGGATTGCGTTTACTTTTTCTCCAATTTCACTTTACCTCAAAGTTCAAATTGATAAATTTTGAAATTTATCCCGGATTTCCGATTCAATTTCCGGCAATTGTCTATTTTAAAACACACAGAAATAGTATTAAATGATGAAAATGAGCCAATAGTTATGGCAGATGGCAAGCATTTGTGTCATGTTGTAGATGCAAATGGTGATGATAATACATCTGCAGCTAATAATAACAACAATTTCCTCTTTTTATTATTCATATTTCACAAACTTTTTTTGTAAACAACATTCAAAAACGCAAAATAAATAATTTAAAAAAAAAGACGGATTGAAAATTTGAGGTTATTTTTTCAAAGAATCCAGTGCAGTTTACTTGAACCGCCAAAAATTACAGTTAGAAAAAGTTCGAACGCTGGACGAACCACGCTAACAATCCGAACATAAAGTATTGCTCTGCCCGCGCTTAGCTCGGGTAGTCGAACACGAGAAATGTTTGCTCGTTTATGAGGTGAATCAACCCGAACATAAATTATTGCACTGCACTCGCAAAATGCGAGCCGAGTGCGCACTAGTGCTGGTAGTCGAATACGGCAAGAGTCTATGAATATGTCGAACTGTCAATATTTTGACTGATAAACGCCAGTTTTTCGTATACTCTCCACACAAAAAGTCGCAAAAAAGTTCATCTTTCGCCGCTCATATCTCAAAGACCGTAATACCTACAAGATTTCGTCCCATTTAAAGGTTGTTAAGAATTAAATCCTCTACAACATATCAAAAATGGGCAAAATCCATAGAGCCCAAAAATCCCATGTTAGGTGTGCGTTATCCTTTATTTCATATTTGAAATGCCCAAAATAATTTATCAAGAGAAAATAAAGGAAATAATAAAACGTTACCGCTATTTCGAGAAAAGCAAACCAGATGTTCTTCGGGGAATAATAATTGAAGCCCAACTAACAGATATACTTGGTGTAGGTATAGTTTAAATATAGATGTAAAGCCATTTCTTACAACCAGCAACCAATATTTTTGTTGGACCAAACCCGAAAAAAAAGTTACTGCGATTATTCCACTCATGTGTTAGAAATCCCATAAGACAAGTGACGATTTTCAGAATTACAGCGAAAATTCTCTTCTCCATTTGTTTAACTAGAGAGAATTACAGCGATAATTCTCCCATGTTATTTTATACATGGTTGTCATGTTAATTTTTAATACAAACAAACGGTTCCTGATAGCAACCATTTATTTGTATTGATTGTTAAGATGTTCAAATCGTCTAATACATATTTATTTCCATATTTTTTGCATTCTCATACGTGAAATAATCCTCTAAATACCACTTGAGCTTTAAAATGAACCAGATAATTTTTCACTCATGTGTGTTTTCTCTGCAAATTTCACTCGTCCTATGGACTCGTGAAATTATAGAAAACACGCAATCGTCAAAAATTATCGGTAATTTTGAAGCTCTCGTGGTATTATCCCCGAAAACATATTTATGCTGTTAAGCTTATTGTTATGGTTACGTTGGATTTATTTTATTTTATCCCATTTTGACGTTTAAAAATGACAATATTGAACGCATGACAATAAAGGTAAGTAGACGTTTATCACCTCAGTGATTTAAAAACATTTTAACTCACTCTCGGCATTTTTCCTTGTACTTTATTTTTTAAATTTCCACAAAACGGGATAAAATTTTGTATACATCACATGAGTTACAATGTTTATTCATTCGAAGAAAATTAACCCACTCGCTAGGGCTCGTGGGTTAAACTTTCTACTCATGAATAAAAATTCATTTAACTCACTTGGTGTATAAATAACTATTAAATAAATTAAATAATTTTACTAAGTAAACTATCTACTTTTTTGTTTAAATTAATTTGAAAAAATATTTTGGAAACATGTTCGACACAGAGGCTGGGTACCAGATCTACATTCACTTTTTGCCGATTTTTTGTTTTTTTGATAGGCACACACATTGATTATTTTCATTGTTATTATTTGATTTTAGTTGTATATTTTATTGGCGATTATTTTTTAAGAAAAGAATATCATGGGGGGGGGGGTTTGAACCCCCTAAACCCCCCCCCCCCCTTATATACGGCCCTGTCCAGCTTTATACGTTTGAAACCAATGTCAAGAGCTATTTGACCTTGAAAAAAATCATAACTTCATGTAGAAAGGGATGGACCTATTCTTGTTTTTGCCGATTCTACAAATTGTTCTACTTACTGTTTGGCGAGTGTCCATCTTGTGTTGTTTAGTTTTATTTTATATTGGATCACTACTATTGTAAAACCAAATTTGGTTTAAGATTTTATTTTTATTGTATTATATAGCAAATTATACTTTTTTTTTAAAAAAAATTTAACTTGACCTGACCCCTTGTCGTTGAAGAAAAAAATCTGGAAACACCAATTAAATGTGAACATAATTTATTGACAAATATAGACGACAAATGTACAAAATAAAATTTATTTACACCTAATATGAATAAGTAATTATTATTAAAAACATAAAATTAACCTACAAAATCTAGTATAAATTAAAACAATTTGTACAAAAAATAAATTATTTACATTTACAATAAGTGGCAGTTCATAAACTTATAAAATTTATATTGTACAATACATTTATGGTAATATTAATACTTGTTTCGTTTCAATGACTTTAGAACACCTTCAAAAAATTGCACAATTTCAACTTTTTGAAACGGGTACAACAGGACAAGAGTTCAATAGAACACTATTGAGTTCATCCATTTCGGACCAGTCTTTTGGATCGTTTTCTATCTTCAAATTTCGAATGCAACCTTTGAAGTTTTCTCGGGTTTTCAACGTACCAACTGCAGCATTATCTGGAAAGAATCGGAATAACATTCAGTAATTTTTTGAGACAACAGATTTTTACCTGGTAGTCCTCCAACATAAAGAGGTGCATCAATTTCATCCATAAGCGAATTCACGTCGCTTTGCACCCAACTCTTCCTGATCCCATCCACATTAACGGTTAGCTCAGAACTGGAGTACATGGCAGTCACGTTATGCCACATATTGTCGCATAGAGCAAAATCTGAATCTAAATTATTGGTGACGTTTGTTTGGACACCATTTCCTAAATCCACAGTCATCACAACAGCTCCATTTTGTAGTTCTATGGACAGGGCTGGATAGTTGCCTTCATTTGAAACTGTGAGGAGTATACCGTTCTGTTCCGCAGTGCGGAATTCGAAACTTAGGTCCAGAATTGAGTTGATTCGAAAGCCTTCTCCTAGAATTAAACAAAAAAAAAGAGTTCCTCTAATAGAAATGTCTAGCTCTCAGAAATGCCAGATGCATGAATCAAACTAGAGCTAAAAGTTTGTGAGACAAGCTCTTCTTGTCCTCTAATAACAAGCCAAAACAAGTCTCTCATAATAGAAATTCTGGATATTAAAGATGCCAATAGCAAAAATTATTTCTTACTGTAAATCGCATAAGCGTCACCGCCAAAATAAGCTCCTTCTTCTATTTTAGGAAATCACTGCCTAATATTGCTATAGGACACGTCATTTGTATTTTTTCCTAGAAGTTTAGAGTCTTCGTTTATTTGTAAATTATTGATGCAACCTCTGAACGGCTGAAGTCTATCGTTCTGAAAATAATTAAATTTTCAAGAGTTCAATTAGCAAATAAGAAACTTACCAATTCTTTAGAAGTGACATAATCTTTAGGAACACTTCCAAAATAAATTTCTTCCTTAAGGCCGATTTTGGGCACTCTGACAGGTTTTTTTGTCTCATTATCCAACGACATTATCAGTTTTTTGCCATTTTTTTTCACTATCCTTATGCTATGCCATTGCCCATCGTTTACTTTCTTTGTAAACATCAATGGCCACTTCTTAGGTATTTTTCGTTTGTTTTTAACATGGTAAGTCAGCTTGCCATCTTTTATTTCCAAATAGGTATAGGGTGGAATTGAGGAGCTTCCCTAAAAATTCAAACGAAGCCAATACAAAATTTGTATAAACATATTGCTGAGTATGTACTTACAACAGAAATAAAAAGCATTCCATTCGGGTACAAAGTCCTAAAATCAAATTCAAACTTGAAGTCTTTTTTCCAAAATGACGTTTGGATTTTGATAAAACTATCAGGCTGATCTCCAAAGTTCACCGCTGTAGGATCTGTTATATAGTTGGCTGTAGTGGAACATCCTTGAGTGTTCTGCATTGTATTGGTCATGTTGATAAAAATTGGATTGTAAGATTTTAGAGTTATTGAGGGCCTGACGAGAGGATTTTCGCGTCCTATTTCTACATTGGAAAATTCTTTGACCGTGTTGAAGTCAAATAAGAGTTTTCTAAAGGAAAAACAATTTTAGAAAACAAAATCTACAAAGTACAAGTAAAGTCTTACTCATTGTTTAAACTAATATCGCTAATGCCTCCATAAAACGAATCAAATCCTTCGATGCTCCCTATAACGATATCGACCAAATTCTCCTTGAAAATACTGCCAGTCTGTTTTCTGTAAATGATTTCGTCTTCTTCATTAACCGATAGGCTAATAAGATCAGTTTTAAACGTCAAAGATACAACATTATAGTCGTTGATGTTGAGGGCCATTCTTTTATCTGCCAGATAATGTTCACCGTTGATTAGGTTGATTTGAAGAAGACGATTGGATAGAGTGAGCTGGAAAAAGAATAATAAGAGTTTTTTTGCTCTTCTTATGTTTCCAAAAGATGCGGCAAAAATTCAAGAGGTGATTCCTGTGATATTCTTATGAAAAAATGTTCATATTATGAACATTTGTCTAAAAATGCTAGGTATTAGGGAGCTAGCCCTTTCCTATATATTTCTGAAACCGTTCATAATGGAAAAATATGAAATTTGATACCTATTAATACAAACTTCTGATGTTGAATCAGAATCTGAGTTCTCTTTGTTCGGTCTTAGGAGTTCAGTAGTTAACGTTCATCGATGCATGCATCGATATGAACCAGAATAAGTATCCTTTCCACGTGAAAATTTTCCAGGTAGGTACCTATCATATTCTAGAATCAAAATGTAAAAAAAAAATACCAATAAAATGCGAGGTGGCTCCGTTTAGGAAGAATTTTAGGACAAATGTTTAAATTTTTCATAAAAATACCTCAGCAATAATTTTTTGAAATATATATCTATGAGAAATCTTATTTTTAGTTTGAATAAAATAAAAAGAGGCGATATTATGATGTCTCTATCACTTTGATTAAGGATTGTGTCCTTCAAGTTTGAGCATTATTCCAGCAAAGGAATGGTCCCTTTTAAAAGTTTTCGATTTGATTGATTATAATTTGAGCGGGAAATGAACAGATCACTCAGATTTTTTCTATGAATTCCATGACTTCAATAGTGTTCAACACTCCTGTGATTATACAATATGGTGCTTGTCGATTTGTTTCGTTATTTATTACATGTCAATCTACTGTTATTATCCATTCACAATCCACAGGTAAAGGTAAAATTTATCACCTTTCAGTGCTATTTGATAGGGAAAGGTGATAAATTTACCTTTACCTTTGGACTACGGATTGTGAATAGGATATAGTTTAAGCAGAGCATGTTTAAATCTCTGGTTTAAGTTCTCGCAGCAAAATCGAAAATTTGTGTGTTCAGGATGGTTGAAAGAAAGTGTTCAAGAATATACTAAAGCATAGGTAGCTCTTATAGAAAAGAAACGAAATCAACCTTTGAGGCAGCTAGAAATCCCCACCCTCCAAATGGTACTTCTACTACTACTTCAATCAACATTTGACAGGAAGACTGCCATTGTGCCATTGATGGATTCCTTGTTCTCGATTAACTTCTGATTCAAACATAAATTAACTTCGTATAGTAGGAATTACGCGTGAACTTTTCGACTGCAATGGAGTTTATTTCTCTAAATAAACGAGTTAGTGCAGTTAATTAAGCATACAATAGGGGTCCACCTACCAATTTTGAGGTAAGAAGCTAAAAATAGTTGTTCCAAAAGTCCCAATCAATGTAGCCAGGGCTTCTTTAGTTATTGCCGGCCAAAGGTCACAGAAATCGGTTTTCAGGATTATCACGATTCTTACCCACATAACAAAATTGCATCCTTAGAATGTATTAAGAATGTTCTTTTTTTAGGAGGAATGTTCCTAGAATGTTCGCCAAAACCATTGCGGAATGTCCTGAGAATGTTCTGAGAAAAGATTGTAGAAATACTGTTTGCAATACCCAAGAACTTCCTGAGAAATCCATTAGGATATTCCTATGAGATTCTCAGTACATCCTGAAAAGAATATTCTTGTTTGATTCTAAAAATATGCTCGATATGTATAGGTATTTTCACATTCAAAGAAATGTTTCTATGACATTATAGTTATGTTCTCAAAAGAATATTATACCAATATGCTTGAAATATTCTTGGAATATATCATTCTCAATATGCATCCTAGATATAACATTCTTGGTTGATTCTAAGGATATACTTGGAATGTTAATTTTCGCTTCCAAATAATGCTCCTTTAAGCCCTTTTATATTAAAGGCAGTGAAACAGTTGTTAGAAAACTTCTCTGGAAAACACAAGCATTTAACCAAAGCTCCGGTTTCGACTGTTTCGAGCTTGTTATGCTCTCGTCGAAGCACGCCAACTGAGAGAAACAGGTTCCAAGGTGATTCAAACGCGAGGTAAGATGTAGATCTTTAATAGCGCGTGGCTCCCTCTCTTGGAAGTCCTACAAAGCAAAAGGAAAAGAATATCCTACCTATAATATTCTTAGTAGGTTCTAGATAGAGCATTATTGTTTAATTGTTAAATTATGATTTTTGAGTAGGTACTTCAGATAATTATGTGAACAATATGAAAATATTCTTATCATGGTTACCTACCTACATAAACTTCTTAGCACAACTTGGTTGGTATATTCTTAATACTTGATAGAGATATTAGCCGAAAGAACATTTTTAGGGTACATTATAATAATGTTCGCTTGACAATATTCAAAGATTGTTATACAAAGTAGGTTCTTAGCACAATCTTTCAGGTAGGTGCATAGAAGCAACATTCCTAGTACATAAATAGAACGTCCAAAAATGAATATTTCAATCGAAACAATCTTAGAATATTCATTAAACATTCCTAAAAGAACATTCCAAAAAGCACTTTGAGGGAATATTCTGAGAATATGAATGTTCTTTCACTGTTATGTGGGTATAGCTCCAACGATATTAACACCTATTACAAAAGTTAGAGATAACAACATTCCTAAGCACTTTGGTTTGAAACTTTTTTTATAAATTGAACCGTTCTTGAAATAGAGCGCGAAGAGTGGTAAGCTCTATGCTCCAGATTTTGACCTATAAATTGAAGGGATCTAACGGTGAATTTTTGCGTACACGTTGTTGTTACGGGTCTTAATAATTGGTGAACGTTTCCCACCGATTCGGTGATTATTTCAGCCCTTACGGAGGGTCAAAGGTCAGGAATGCGTTTATCAATATCTCGAAAAGGATCAACTTTTTTAAAAATTTCTAGATCATTAAATTTGCTCCAAATTTGGTCTTAGGTACATTGCTCTACAATTAACCGTTCTTGAGATACAGCGCAAAATTTAAACAAAGATAAGGGGACATTCTCGAAATGAGAGATATCAAGCTGTAAACCCGTACACACATTCATTTGGCTTTTCTTGAAATCGACCCAAAAGTCTAATAAAATCACGTGTGCGTGTCAAGATATGTCAGGTCAAAGGTCACAAAAAGCGATTATCTCGGTTTGTATAGGTCCAATGATTTTAACACATATTATAAAAATTGTAGTTCACTAGTTAATACATTCTATTTAATAACACTTTACATAAGGTATCTAAATATCTGAATGTATTCGTTGACTAGAACTCGGCGGACTTACAGCTTAAAAAATTATGGCTGATTTCTGATTTGTGTTTTATTTGTCACAAGCCACTTTCAGAAGGCGAATCTGTTAATGTAGTGCATGGCTCAAAAACTTTAAAAACTGCAAGTATCGAAAGAAATGATGGTCACATGGATTTCTTGAATACTTTGACCTCTGTGAATATGCATGTTAGAGTGTCGAGAAGTGTACACCAGTAAAAACTGCATAGAAGCATCTAAACGACGCCTAGAAGAAGATGCATCATCAACCAGTGTACCTGTTAAAAAAAGGAATGAAACCTTTGATTTCAAAAAACGCTGTTTATTTTATGGCGAAAGAGCTGATGCAGCAGCAGAAGCAAAAAAAGAACAGAAGCAGCGACGCCTGATTGATATCGTAAGTACTTTACAATTTAAAGATAATGTTATCAAAAGAGCAGAAGAACGGAACGATTGGTTCGGGGAATTAGTCAAAAATCGTGTACGTTCTGAGTTAAATTTGATCGAAGATGAAGCAATGTACCATACCATTTGCTATGCTATATGTGCTAAGTTCTCGAAGACAGCACCCTCTACAGAGACTCCCCGCAAAAATGTATAAATTACTCTGAAGCAAGTAATGAGATTTTTCGTTATAGGTATAGAAAATCATGGAGATTCGCAATTCGCATTAAAAGAGCTTAAAGATGTTCTTACGGAGTATGTACCCCATGACGACACTATTTTAGCAAGACTTCAACAAAAATATTTAACTGTCATAGTACTTAATTACAAGAAAAGTTGGATCATTTACTATCATATCTTTTCGTGACACACACAGTAATGTTTTATCAAAAAGTTGGTACGAAAAAAAGTAGGTACGCCGGAAGAAGAATGATTACGAATAGTCGAGGCTGCAGCAGCTATTGTTAGGGAACATATTCGAGCATTGGTAGTCGAAATAAGGAACTTTTATGAACTCTTATCCATCTCCGCGTATAATGTTAGATGATATCAATCAAGAAATACCTAAAACTATTGAATTTTTTGGACGAAGTCATAATGAAAAATAGAAGAAGGAGAACTGATAATTTGAAAACATTAAGCACATCGATAAGAAATGGCTTCAATAAGAGAACGATCATTTTCATCACAGCTACAAATTAGGGCTTTCAGTATTTCTTCAGAAAATATGTATCCAAGCGACTATAAGATGTTTTATCTACATAGCTTGGGATTTGCAGCTTCCTAATCATACTGTACATCATGAAGTGTCAGTAGTGTACCATCCGCCACCTCGCATTTTAGCGTCAGAGTCAGGTGCCCTAGTACAATATGTTGGCAACAATGCAGACCTAAATGTCCAAACGCTTGATTTTACTCTGCATGTTATGGAAATGATTAAGATTGTTACTCCAAAAGAAGCTGTTATTTACGATGAACGCATACAAAAATGTACAACGAAACCAAGTGCCAAAGATTTGGCATCAATATCACATGTATCTCTTATAGCATATGAAAAACCAGTCGTGTCAGTATACAGCAATATGAAGTCGAAAATCTGCATGATGATCTAGCACGAACCGAAAGGATGCAGTTGATTGTTTGTGGTTATACGGAAAGTGGCGGAATATTGCACCATTGGTAGGATGGAATGGATGTCTTGAAAAGCTAACAAAAAATAATCGCAATTTTTCAACGTCTCAGGTTATGTTTCTTCCTTTTATTGATAATTCTGACAGCAACTTAGACACGATTTATACCACTTTCCATCGCGCCATGAACCTTGCCAAGTCACGTCACATTACCAAAAAACGTGTATTACTACTTTTGATCAACCCCTTTATGCTAAAGCACGTGAAATGATATCTGAGTTAGACGGTACGTCAGAAATATCTAACATTATATAGTTGGAGGATTTTATATGCTTATGTCCTTTCTGGGGTGCATCGGATATGTAATGGAGGGAAGTGGACTGAAGCAACCTTTGGCTAAAATATATGCTATTAATTCTGTGGCCAAAATGTTGAATCATCACGCATATTCAAGAAGTATCAGAGGTCATACACTATTACTTACTTGCTTGCATTATCCAAGCTAATTTGTGAAGCCATGAAGGTGACCGATTGTGTATTAGATGTAGTCTGGGAGACGACCGCATTTTTCCTACCCCGATCGAGTTATGTGTCGACACTATTATCAATATATAGTATTATGTGCATCTATTAACCTGTATTCCTGCCTGAGAGCAAATGCTGCCGGAAATATCTTTTAACAAATTATTAACAAATTGAAAAAAACGTAACACTACCCCCATCGAGTTATGCCCTAAGTAGGGTATCAGATTGAAGGTCTCGATGTCCCCTATCTAAAAAGTCGATCCTGCCTCGTGAGAACTTGCCGGAAAAGGTTGGCAGGACAGCTTATTGGGGCAAGGGCCCGCGGTCTCTGCTTTGACACCTATCAAGTTTTGCACTAAATGATGTGTCAAATTGAAGGTGTCAATAAGTTGATTTAAGGTCTGTACGCACAGAAATCACAAACCAGTCAGAGCGAATTTCATTGGTTGGAAACAGTCAGGAAACTAGTTTCAAACAATGAAATTCACTCCTTCTGGTTTGGGGTGTCTGTGCGAAGAGACCTTAAATCAACTTATTGACACCTTTAATTTGACACATCATTCAGGGCAAAACTTGATAGGTGTCAAAGCTGAGACCGCCAGCCCTTGCGCCAATAAGCTGCCCTGCCACCTTTTTCCGGCAAGTTCTCACGAGGCAGGATCGACTTTTTAGATAGGGGACATCGAGACCTTTAATCTGATACCCTACTTAGGGCATAACTCGATGGGGGTAGTGTTACGTTTTTTTCAATTTGTTAATAATTTGTTAAAAGATATTTCCGGCAGCATTTGCTCTCAGGCAGGAATACAGGTTAATAGATGCACATAATACTATATATTGATAATAGTGTCGACACATAACTCGATCGGGGTAGGAAAAACGCGGTCGTCTCCCTAACTAATGAGTTAGCTAAACAAATTACGTGTCGTGACGTTTCCTATGAAAATTTAGAAGGGTGTGTCCGTAATGCGAGCTCATTTATTGCCCAATTTCATGATAAACTCAATTAATTAAAAGCTCGAAGCCCGAAAGCCTGGTTATGGGGTACAATATTTTGAAATGGTATCCATAGCACTGGACTTTATTCGCGCTGAACTACTTGGACGTTTCCAAGATCATCTTGATGTAGTGCGAAACATGCTGCCGTATTTCCATGCTAGTGGTCACTTTTTGTATGCGAAATCTGCTCATTTAGATCTTCAAGATATGATGAAATTGGAAAATACAATGGATGCACCGACATTTGAGAACTTTAAAAATGATGTCATTGGATTCTTCACTGCAAGACGAAGAGAAAAATTCAATTTTGGCACATGGACAGATATGGTAATCGGACAAAGTCTTATGATATATATGAAGACAGAAGGGGGATTATCTCGAGGTCGACTTACTCAAGACAGCGTCTTATGTAAATGGGTGTATGCTATGTAAGCTACAAATACAATTTGTGAGGAGATTGATAAGTTTTGTACTATTGCGTTAGATTTTGCTGAACAACATGTTGATTCACGAGATTCAAGAGGGAAAAGGGATGCCACTGATGTACATAAACTAATTGAATGGCTTACACTTCATGATCTCCTTTAGCCCTATACAACAATTATATCAAAATTGGATACGCCTCTTACTTGCCCTATATAATGCTCCAAAATCTGAGGACAATCTCGATCATCTTTGATATAATCATTTCGTCAAATCTACAAAGCTCCATAAACCTGTGCAATTATCTAATCTTCCACTGATAACTGCAGCAGCTCATCATGGTTAGGCCATGATTTAGAACCCCAGCAATGATGTTGGATGCAGCCAATGAATGCAGCAAATTCAATCCTATTTCTTGAGAAAGCGACCCCAAGGAAGAGCGCGCCTTTGACACAGACATTGCAGAAGCTTTGGAAACGACGATGGAGGACAACGCAGATGATGGCAATGAAACCGACATGTTTCATCGCCCGGAAGATGACGAATATGAAGAAGAAGACCAAGCGAAATAATACTTTTGTCCTTTAAATTATACAGCTGCTGAATAGAGACACAATCCAAATATACAGTGTGCGCCATAAAGTTGGGTACAATATGGGAAAATTCTTAATTATTCCTTTTTTCAAAAAACTTTTTTTGGGGATCGTTAGGGCATGTTCGATAACCAAAAAATCTTGTATGTACTCGCTGTATTTCTTAATTGAACTTCCACTTTAGATAAATTAAATCAAAATCCAAAATATACAATACGTATTTCATTTATTGACTTTTTGATTAGACACAGTAGGTAAGTATGATGATTTGCTGGCTCAATATCCCCAAGGATAAGGCCAAGAAACGGAGAAGAAGAAGTTAAGTATGATCAAATAAATATATTAGATATCTATATGTAAAGTGTTATTATACAATATATTATGATGTAAAAACTGTATTTAACCAAGAATCACTGTTAATCTTGGATTGCTAAGCGCTGCGCGGTTGCCGCCCTCTAACTTAAAAACGGTTGAGCGCATGAAAAAATGTTTGGAACAAAAGTTGTCGTAAATTTTATAATCTACAATTTTTATAATAGATGTTAAAATCATTGGACTTATAGAAACCGAGATAATCGCGAAACCGATTATTGTGACCTTTGATCTGACATAACTTACGACACGCACACCTGATTTTATTAGACTTTTGGGCCAACTTCAAGAATGGCCAATTGAAGGTGTGTACGAGTCTACAGCTTGTTTCCCCCCAATTGGAGAATGGCCCCTCATCTTTGTTAAATTTTGCGCTGTATCTCATCTCAGTTTAGTAGAGCAATATAAGTACCTAAGACCAAATTTGGAGCAAATTTAATGATCTGTAACTTTTTTAATAAGAAATTCTTGAAAAAGTTGACCGATTTTGAGATAATGATAAACGCATTTCTGACCTTTGACCCTCCGTCACGGCCCAAATAATCAACTATTAGAACGTCAAAATGAAGGTGTGCCAATTTTCAGCTTCTTACCTCAAAATTGGTAAGTGAAACCACAACGTGACTGGATTAAGTTCAAGTTTACCTTACATACAGGAGATGTGAGAGGAAAAAATTCCAAGCCACGGTATATGATGACTATTCGGATCTATGAATCTAAATATTGTTATTCAATTGACAATTTTAAATCCATTATCAACCAACTCGATAGACGTTTTTATTTATCTATGAACAGTCACAGACCGAACATTTACCAAGAAGATTCAAAGAGAATTGTTACGAACAAATTGATAATAATCTTTACCGTTCCAAAACCATGAATATCCAGAACTGCAGCGTTGGCGTTTAATGGTCTCAAAATAAAAGAAATTGCATCCAATTTTTGCCCCGTCTTCATTCGTGAAAGTGGCATTGAGACTTGTAGGGATCCGTTACCGTTAAACCATGCTTTATCCAATTCAAGCTAAAATTATTATAACAATTGTAATGAAATCATAAAAAGAAAATTAATATCTTATACCTCTCCAGTTTTTGGAGTTACTCCCGATGCAATCAATTCATTGCTAAGCTGGGCTTGGTGACTCAGGAATCCAAGGAACGATGTGGTTTTTATATTTAGTAAATTTCGGTCCAATGAAGGGGCTATGCCTCCCAGAAAATGTTTGGCTTTTTTGATTCTAAAATAACCATATTTGTTATGAAGAACTAAATTCTAACAAATTGCATAAGTGTGTTACCTAAACACAGCTTTATTGTCCAACTGCTCTCTAGTCGATTGTTTATTTTTGTCAGTGTCCAAAGTATAATATTGTATTTTTCTTGCATATTCCATAGCGATTTCAGCAAAGTACGTTCTGCCATCATTGAATTTGTCCAATGTTTTTAACACAACAGTTTTCCCATTATTGTGACATACGTCTAGACGAATACGACCATCTTCTAAAGTTAGTGCAATAAAAGCTGATGGATTCTATAGAAAAAAACAATTTAATAAATAAATAAATTCGATACTTTTACTTACATCAGTTTCTTGTGCTAAATAAATCAAACTATTTTCGTCAAACGTGGAAAAATAGAATCGCATGGCAAATCTTGCAGGCGTAAGTGGACCCAATCCGTATTTAGTGTAACCGTTTCCAGAGTAAAACGGTCTGGCCCCATCCAGCTCTTTGCTGTTAACTCTGGCTTGTCCTTTGCATTTTCCGAAAGTCTGTGCGAATTTCCACAAGCCAACATTTTTATCATTTATAGCAAATTTATAAATGTAGGCATTATTTTGAGTGGGAAACCCGTCTCCCACTTGAAAGCGATCACTTGGATCTACCACCAGGACTCTGCTACCGATTCCTTTTTTTTGCCAAATAGTGTCGTTGTCGAATTTCATTTGAAGCAGGGAACCAGTCCTGGAATTATACACACAAAATGTTAGTCCAAGATCATCTTTCTCTAAAACATTTATTTCTCAATTTCATTATCCCTACTCCCGACCATTATCCGTTTCTCTCTCGAAATGAAATGACTGAGTGTTGTTGCGGCAAATTCAAAAGAGCTGTGAATGTTGATCGTTAAACGACGTAGAGAATATTTAAAAAGGATATTTTTTATGTTTTGCCACTAAACTAGAAAAAGGCGCATTTATTGTTAAAAAAGTATCTAATTCAACAACTTCAAATCATGGATACTGTCTTCAGCAATCTGTAACCAGACTATCCTGAAAACCAGTGGCGGCGCTTGGATGCACTGGGCCCCCCACTAAAAGAGCCAATTAGAAGCTGCGGAAATTTTGATTAACATCAACTCAAGAGCTGGTAATGATCATTCCCTTAGAAAAATCCTCTTGCGAATCCAAAGTTGATAGTTCAGATTTTGACTATTTCTGGCTCTTGATTGGCTCTAGGAAGGTTTTCCAAAGAATCAAGAGCCGGTAATAGCTCAGATTTTTATTATCTGTGGCTCTTGATCTATTGGATAATTTCTCTTGGGCCAATTAGAAGCCGCGGGAGAAGAAATTTTGTATAATATTAACTTAAAAGTTGCTAATGATCATTCGAAATTTTGAATTACTATCGGCTCTTGAGCTTTGAATGCCCTTAGAAAAATTCTCTAGGGTATCTAAAGTTGATAAAAGTTCAAATTTTGACTATCATCCCTTGATTGGCTCCAGGAAAATTTTCCAGATAATCAAGAGCCGGTAGAATAGTTCAAATTTTGATAATCTGTGGCTGTTGATCCATTGGATAATTTTTCTCCAGCTAATTAGAAGCTGCAGAAGAAGAAATTTTTATTAATATCAACTTAAGAGCTGCTAATGATTATTTGAAATTTTAATTATTATCGGCACTTGAGCTTTGAACGCCCGTAGAAAAGTTCTCATGCGAATCCAGAGTTGATAAAAGTTAAAATTTTGACTTCAAGCGGCTCTTGATGGGCTCCAGGAAAGTTTTCCAGAGAATCAAGAGTCGGTAGTTCAAATTTTGATTATCTATGGCTCTTGATCCATTGGATAATTTCTCTTGGGCTAATTAGAAGCTGCGGAAGAAGAAATTTTGTATAATATCAACTTGAGAGCTGCTAATGATCATTCGAAATTTTGATTACTATCGGCTCTTGAGCTTTGATGCCCTTAGAAAAATTCTCTAGGGTATCTAGAGTTGATAAAAGTTCAAATTTTGAATATCATCGACCCTTGATTGGCTCCAGGAAAGTTTTCCAGATAATCAAGAGCCGGTAGAATAGTTCAAATTTTGATAATCTGTGGCTGTTGATCCATTGGATAATTTTTCTCCAGCTAAAATTAGAAGCTGCAGAAGAAGAAATTTTTATTAATATCAACTTAAGAGCTGCTAATGATTATTTGAAATTTTGATTATTATCGGCACTTGAGCTTTGAACGCCCGTAGAAAAGTTCTCATGCGAATCCAGAGTTGATAAAAGTTAAAATTTTGACTTTAAGCGGCTCTAGATGGGCTCCAGGAGAGTTTTCCAGAGAATCAAGAGTCGGTAATAGTTCAAATTTTGATTATCTGTGGCTCTTGATCCATTGGATAATTTCCCTTGGGTTAATTAGAAGCTGCGGAAGAAGAAATTTTGTATAATATCAACTTAAGAGCTGCTAATGATCATTCGAAATTTTGATTATTATCGGCTCTTAAGCTTTGAATGCCCTTAGAAAAATTCTCTAGCGAATCCAGAGTTGATAAAAGTTTAAGTTATGACTATTACCAGCTCTTGAGTGGCTCTAGGAAGGTTTTCCAAAGAATCAAGAGCCGGTAATGGTGCCTTGGTTTGTGCCTGAACACTAAGAATGATATTGAATATTGTAGAGTTAACTCGAGAACCAAATTTAACTTTAAAAAGGCAAATTTCTTGGTAATGTATAGACTTTTCGTATGTAAAAAATATCCTGTATAGTTCAGCAAAGAAATTATCAAGCTTCTCAAACGAAAATATAAACTTCATAAAATCAAAAATATACTAATCTCACTATTGGAGACATAAGTACGTTACTCTTAGGAGCGTTGTCAATTATAAGGTTAAACTTGCTCATTCCAAATACCTCCGCGATATAGAGGCAAGGTTTCAATCAAACCCTAAAATTTTTTGGTTCTTTCTAAAAACTCTAAAAAATTCTCTTGATTTCTTGGAGGAAATGGTCCTTGATGAGAAAACCTATTCAGGATCCCAAGGTGTGGCCGGCGGTTTTGCTGATTTTTTTACATCGGTAGATATAAATGACGACGATATGAATTGTAACATAACGAGCGTCAAGTCATATTTCTGTAGTAAGCCTATCACTTTTGATGAGACCGAGAGGGCTATTGGGAGAATCAAGGCAAATAGGGCAATCGGCCCTGACGGAATTCCGGCCTATACCTATTCTTAAAGGCTGTGAACAATATCTTTTAAAACCTTTTAATATTATATTCAATTTAATTTTAAATACTTCGAAATACCCTGATATATGGAAAATTCCTAAAATTATTCCTATTCATAAAACTGGAAGAATTACCGCCTAATAAGTAGGTATCATGAGTGCAGTCTCAAAAATATTTGAAAGAATTATTTTTGAGCGATTTTTCGACGATGTCTCAGGTAATCTTGCATCCTGCCAACATGGTTTCTTGCCTAGAAAATCTACATTTACCAACTTTAACAACCTTTTGCCAATTTGTTCATGAAGCCATTAACGATAAATCTCAGGTGAATTGTCATTTACACTGACATGGAGAAGGCGTTCGTTCGATAGAGTCAGACATTGTGTGATATTGGAATATCTTAAGAGCCTAAATGTATCCTCATACCTAGTTTATCTGATCCAGTCATACTTAAATGAGAGATCCCAATTTGTCGAAGTTAAGGGTACCTAGTAGAAAAAAGTGACAATGATGAAGTGACATTTATTTTGAAATTGCTCTTCAAATAGACTCAGGAAAAAATAAAAATGATTTTGAAAAATGTCGTTTTTTTCCGAATATCTTCGGAAGTATTCGGAATTTTTAAAATTTGAAAACGGCATTTTATTGGTCATAAAATTGCGCAACTTTGCCATAATTTAACCGACCTCGTATCTCTTATACATAGTTTCCGATATCTCAATGGTCACCCTCGAATTTGGGACACCCTGTATAGAGCAATCGAGAATAGAGTGGTTTAGATCTCCTGGTTCTGAACATTCGCAGATGTCATTATTTCTTAGTCCTATTTTTTTCATATGTTTAGGAAACAGGGCATGCTGGCTTCTTAATCGGGAGATTGTCCTTATGAAATGTCGGTATTTGTTTCTGTGTAAAACCAGGGTTTTTTATTTATTTCAGGAAACATTTCTTTCAAATGAATTCCTTTGTTAGATGCTAGATATTGTTCCTTCCAACTATATATAATTCGCATTTTTGACTTTCTTTATAGATCTGTATGTGAAGGGTAAAAATTTTGGGAAAAAGTTTCAATTTCAGTTGCTTGTTTAGCTAGCCTATCTACGATTTCGTTTTCTAATATCTCTATATGAGATTTGACCCACACTAATTTAACGTTTTGGTTTTGATTTCTAAGGTCATTGAAACTGTTTATGATATTTGAAACAATATAGTTGGAGAGACCTTTGTGGCTCTTGATTCATTGGATAATTTTTCTTGAGCCAATTAAAAGCGGTGGAAGAGGAAATTTTGATAATGTCAACTGAAGAGCTGCTAATGATCATTCGAAATTTTTGATATTATCGGCTCTTGAGTTTTGAATGCCCTTAAAAAAATTCTCTTGCGAATCTAGAGTTGATAAAAGTTTAAATTTTGACTATTACTGGCTCTTGATTGGTTCCAGAAATCAAAAGGCGGTAATAGTTAAAATTTTGATTATCTATGGCTCCTTCATGCATTGGATATTTTTTTTGGAGCAACTAAATACTATCCATATTAGATGCTGTTCTATGCCTGATCATGGAGTCTATGCTGACTTATGGAATTTCTCAAGTAATTTTTCAATATTTTTGATTTACTAAATTCCGCTAAATGACCTTTCAGCGGTGGCAACTGAAAGGAATGTACTAGTTAAGTATGTCAATCGATATTGGTCATTATATTTCTCAATTTTATGTCAAAGCATTTTTATTTAAAAAAAATTGTACCCCTTTGTGTCCGGTCTTCTATGCATATTGCCGCCACTGCCGAAAACATATAGCAGAAGGATTTCCTTTCCATTTCTTTTTATATGAGTCTGCGTATTTGTCTACTGTGGAACAACTAAACTTCACTTCTTGTCTTTCATGGCACAAGTTAAAAATCTGGAAAGCCCCTGATAAAAGGAACCAGCTGGCGCTCCTATTTCTTTTATCAACGATTCAGGATTCTGGTTAGAGTTACAAACTTATCATTTCTAAATGCAGTATCCAGTATCCTCACATTCTATTGTTGTTAAAAAAGATCGTAATAGCGACTAGGTATTCAAGATACGATCTGGATTTTTTTTTAACAGTTTAATGCATAAATTTGAGAAGAAGAGAAGAACCATTTTGCACTAGTTTGTAATAAAAATGTATTAAGGGTAATATATTTTTTTTTTTTTGGAAAAATTGGAAAAAGTGGAGCCCCAGAAAATTGATGAAACGTTCTTCAGTTTCAAAATATTAGCTCCATAGGTATACAAATAGAGTTTTCCATACAATTTGTTCAGTGATGACGCTGAGGGATTTTGAAAAGAATTTAAACTTTATGTTTTCCAATGTACCATGATACAAGGTTGCAGATTTTATTATGGTCGTAACATTCCTCAAATGAACACTAACTCAGATTGAAACTTAGGTACTTACCTAGTTCAAATATAAACAGTAGGTATTTTATATATCTACCTACCTACATTACTCATCTAGAAAATTTTTATCATCCCCCAAAATATTTAATTTGGAATATCTAATATGTTTTGCAATATCAGATCAATTCTGAACATATAGTATTACCTTTCAACAAATAGGGTCTTTTCAATCTTCAGTCCTCCCTCTCTAAGCACAGTAATAATGTTCTCTTCCTGATCTTCGCTGGTAAAGTTCAAAATGGCACTACCATTTCTAATGCTTATGGTCATGCCTCCATTGTCCCATTTGAATAACTGACAATTTGCGCATTTAAATGTTATGGCAAGACTTCTAAAGACTTCGGTTTGGGGCACCGAGTAAAGCATGGAGCAGTTGGAGAGACCCATAGCAACATTCACCTAGAAAAAAACTGGGTTAGATATTTTTAGGTATGGTAAAACGAGTCTTACCGATTCAGCCGCTTGTCTGGCATATAAAATTTTATTTTGCAATTCTCCTATTTTTGATGTTACATTATTGAGCTTAATTTGCCCATATTTAATTCCATTGTCATCGATTTGCATATTGTTTTCTAGTAATTGTGTCACTTTTTTGATGGCCTCATTAACTGAATCTCTTGCTTTTCTGATTTCTAAAACAAATTTTTTGAGCATTTTTTTTCACATAAATTTTCAATTCTTACCATTATCAGCTTCATTTCTTGCAATCAAATAAACATCCTTTTCGTTGAAAAGGTCATATCGCACAGTGATATTCAATTCCGAAATATCTTTTTCTAGTTGCCTCATTTGGTCTATAACCTTTGAACTATCCTCTATGGCTTTACGGAGTTTATCTACCAAATAGCCTTTGGAAATAATCTGCCCCTCCAAATTGAGCAGCTGCCGGTTGAGATCATTGTTAAAACGACCACTATCTATAAGGCCTTCTTTGAAATCTTCTACATCACGTTTTTTCAAGTTAAAATCTACAATAATAATTTTTTAAGATTTTTTTTTTATCGAAAAAGTCAACTTACAGTTTGAAATATTCTTCATATTAGTGATACGGTATTTTAATCGATCAGACTGACTATGAGCTAAATTTGCTTTATCAATCAACCTATCAGAATCACTAGGATACATGATATTTAGAGCGTCTTCTAATATACCTTTGGTGTCAGCTGCAGTATTTTTGGCTACGGCTATACCATCTAAAATGTCATTATAAGCTCTGCTGGTTTTAATTTTTCTAGTTTCATCTTCTGTAAAGTTTAGGGCTCTGAAAATATAAATATAGAAAATGCAATTGAGAATAGTTAATAGAATGTCTAACCCGATTCTATCATTCACGCTTTTCTGTAGTCTTGTAACGTGTTCACATGCCCTACGCACTAAATCCTCCAAATCAGGACTGTCTTCTTCAAACTGATACAATTTTTCTTCCAAATCCTGCGAGTCACTGAAATCGAAATTTTCCATACTTTCGACAGTTTCTTTGAATTCTTTCAATTTCTGATTTATTAATTTTATTTTATCAGTTGTTTCTTTAATGTTGTTTTTTATAGTATTAGTGGTATTGTCAAGATTTTTGATGTTTAGACTCAATGTTTTTGTGTTGATTCTGTTTTGATCATTCTGAAATTCAGCCACAGCAACTTTGTCTTCTATTTCTCTAGTTATCAAGTCAATTTCCTCTAGTTTTTCGTTGATTTTATCCAAATCATCAAATGGTAGTTCTAGTGGCTCATCAAAATAACTATAAACTTCTTTGCTGATTTTTTTGCAATAATCAAATATTGGGTTGCTATAGTATTCCATTTCTAAGACTTTCCGTTGGATATTTTCTCTAATTTCTTTAAGAAGGCTATTAGCTTGTCCTACAGCTGCTTCAATATCAACATGCTTTTTGCCAAAATTTCTTAATCTGTCAATCAGGTCATTTATATCTTCATGTAACCTTTTTAGTTCATCACGAAAAATATCGATTTCTTTCTGTTGCTTGATAATTTCATTAAAACCTCCATCAATATCTTTTTCAAATTCTTCAACTTTATTTACCATATTAAATATGGAATTTTCCATTTCATCAATATTGCCTTTTTTTAATAACTTATTAGCTCCATCAAATGTGTAAGTGAAATTATTATGGAGCATTTTGAATTTCGTCCTAAGCCCATCTAGAACTTTCCATGGAGGACTAAGACCATCTTTGAACAAATCTTGAACATCTTCCAAAGATTTCGTTAATCGATCAATATCTTGGAATAAAATTTGTGTACATTCATCACACGCTGTACAAGAACCTTCTTTAATAAATTCCCTCGGATTTTTGCATTGACTGCATTTATCTCCGTGAAAGCCGGGCTTGCAATTGCACATTCCATGGATGTCACACACACTCGAGTAGCTACCATAAAAGTTACAACTACATGGAACACATTTATTGGTGGAGTCTCGATAGAAGCTGTCTTGACACAGTGCACATTTAGTACCCGTATAGCCAGTTTTACAATGACAAATAAATCCGTGCTTCTTGGCAACGCAACTTTCCGCATTGTTTTCCTGCTCTGAGGGACACAAACATGGTTGACAATTGCCAGTGAAATCTTGGTAAAATCCAGTATCACAAAGTTCACAATGGAAACCAGCAGTGTTGTTTGAGCAATTCTGTGAAGTGAATTTTTTGTAATTTAGGTTGAAAAAAAAAAGAGTTGAAATTTAGTTGTTACCTGACAATATCCAGTGTCTGGATCACAATCGCGGCTTCTTCCATTACAATCGCACGGTTTGGCGATACCGATTACATTATCAATCCATGGGGTTTGAGTGACTTCGTATTCCGTCGGGAAATATCGATAATAGCCGTTATTTGGATCCTGACATGACAATCCTGTAAATTCTGGAGTACAGTCGCACTTTTCTATCGAGTGACTTGTGCGGTTATAAGGGATGTACGGTTTAGCTGAATCCAAAAGAACTTCAAAGATTCTGCATGAAAACATTGATTTTTTTAGTCTAAGATTATATAGTTATAAGGAAATTACTTACTCCATATCTTGTCCCTGGATAACTATAGAAGTAATTTTTTGCAATGCTAACAAAAGACACTCTCTGGTTAACGAAATTTGACAGCTTGGTAGAATATTTCCAGAAGTGACTCTCCAGTGTTTTTCGTTCAGTCTCAATTCATTGGAGCTGATATCAGATTTGAGCGACACGCCGTTACCCGTTAAAAAGACACTAAACCGTCCTCCAGAACCGTTAACACTTAGGTAACCATCGTACGATGTGGTAAGATCGCCCATGAATTGTTTTGGGAGGCTGATTGTGTCAGAACTGATCTGTAACTAAATTGTTGAATGGCTGACCTAAATGATTCACTCTGGATACTTACTGGTTCATTATTCTCAATGGTATTGTCCAATTTTTCATAACGGATTTTGTCCCAATTATACTTTGTATCCACGCATTGGTTACTTCTTCCGAAACAAAAGCATTGTTTGCATCCTTTTAGGTTTTCCTTGGAAAGTCCAAAAGTGCCATTTTTGCAAATGTTACATTTTGAACCTTTGACGTTTTCCTATAGATAAACAAATATCAATTTAGTGCTTCTTATTCACACCCCAACAAATAACTATTTATTATTTTTCAAATATGGATGTTCGCATTGTTCTCTCTTAATGATATTAAGCTTATGTGCACACTGATCCGGATAGAATCGGCTTGAAATGAAATAGTTCTGCTGAGAGAAATATCTCAACTCCTGATCTTATTTCAAAAATGAAACCCTAGTCCATTCCAGCGCTGGCAGCGCTACCTACTTTAAGTTTAGGGAGGTGAGCTTTGGAGAGTACACGTAATTATCTCACCTTTAGCAAAGCAGATATATCAGTATACTCGTGGAATCTCAGGAGACTCTTAAGTATCTTTTAAGAAACAACGTGGTTTCTTGAAGAAAATTGAAACAGCGCCAGGCCCAGGAGAAATATGTGGAGAATTGATAAAGTTTGGGAGCAGTGAACTTCAAAAGCACAAAACTATTCCAAACATGCATAGATACGCATGAAGTACCGGAAGAATGGAAAATATGCTTTTCAACAACGGTATATAAGAAAGGAGACAGAACGGAGCCAGACGAAAAGGCCGGTTTTAGCGCAGTGGAGATCAACTTATTTAGCCTGACCCCATAGGTGATAAAAAAGAAACTAGCATATGACCATAGAGAAACATATGACCAAGAACCTCATTTTCTATTTGTGGTTCTAAAAAAGGCATACCCATATGACAGTATCTCTCTAATTAAAAAAACTATGAGAAGCATGAGAAAAGATCAATATCAACCTAAAGCTAATTGAGGTAGGTAGTTAAAACGCTCTACAGTGGGAAAGACCAAGATTAAACAGGGTAGCATAATCAGCAATAGCTTTACAACAAATTAAAGACAAACCAGGGATGCTGCATCACATCACATTTCAAAATATACTTGGAGTTTTGGGAACAAGCGAATAACGGGTGGGGATATGGATCAGAGGAACCGCACAAATGCTGGAAGCAGGGGAAATGGACTTTTGGAAGAGAGCGGCAGTAAGGTCAAAAATAGAAATGATAACAAACCAGAGAATTAGAGAAATTATGAACGTAAGACACACAATAGTAGATGATGAAGGAACTGATTTGGTTTGTTACAAAGAATGGCAGATACGAGAATATCCATCCAAATCTTTGAGTGGAGCCAGGGGCCCCAGGGGGTATATTCCCAAACAAGAACTATGATGTTCTTGACTCCTCGTTGGTTAATACTTGGAAAAACATTTTTCACAACTTACATTGCCAACGGAAATTTAGACCGTGCAATTTAAAGTCGTTAGGGGTATTTGTCCTTGTAGTAGCTGTTCCTAGCTCGTCAATATAGTTCAATATTGCTTGAGCAAGGAGCTAATAAGCCTATATATCTTTCATGATGAGTCTAAATTGAACCTTTTCACAACTCACATCACCAATGGAAAATTAGACCCTGTTCCAGGCCTTTATAGCGGGCCACCACATGATAACCTAGATGATTATGGGTCGAATTATCACTGTGTATATATCCGATTGATGATTTTGGGTTTCAGGCCCCAATGTTGCTGAAAGCTCTTTTACCTCAGTGCGTTGTTAGCTCTCTTGATTTTGCTTCTTAGATGTTCCATGTCAACCTCCATATATAATGTTCCCCAGATTTCCAGATATTTCGTTGACCATAAGCATCTAGGCCTTCGATCCACAAGGTTGACCTGTTCCGCGGTCCGGTCTTTGATGAGAATAACCATATCCTGCAAGGCTGGCTGACAGCGAGGGTTGTGTATATCCGCGAAGTGGAAGTCATGGATAACGCCCTCTCCAAATTCTTCCGTCCGATCAGTCTAACTTCGTTTGTTTTAAAGCTCTAGAGCGCATTCTAAACTAGCATATTAGAGATAAGATCTTGGGACAGTATCCCCTAAGTCCTCACCAATATTCTTATCAGGTTGAAAAGTCCACTGATTTGGCTTTGAACAATTGAACAACCTCGTAGGAAGGATCAAGCAGTCCTCAAATCAGGGAGAAATTGCTTTGGCAGCCTTTCTCGACATTGAAGGAGCGTTCAACAATGCCCTAACTAGATCCCTATACTCTAGCATTGAGCGTAGGGGAGAGGGGTCCACAGAATCATCTGCAACTGGATCAGAAACATGCTGGAAAACAGACGTATTACGATGTCCCTACAGGGGGAGACGGTCTAATTCAGCGGCCTGGGGGTGCCCTCAGGGCGGGGTACTGTCCTCCCTGCTGTGGTCCCTCTTGGTTGACTTTCTGCTGGGTGGTCTCTCCGATGAAGGTTTCGTTTTTCAGTTTTATGCGGACGATCTAGTTATTGTAGTAGAGGGACAAATGAAGAAATAATTTCCGGTATCATGCAAACCGCTCGAAACATGGTTACGAAATGGTGTGAGGTGGAACAGTTGTCTGTAAAACCCCGCAAAACAGTAGTAATTCCTTTTAGTAAAAGGAGGAAGCTAGACAAGCTTCGTTAACCAATTAGGAATGGCGAATCAATTCCATTTGCGGAGGAGGTTGAATATTTGGGTGTTATACTCGATAAAAAATTAACCTGGAACTCTCATCTGAAGAACACCATCAATAAAGCCAGATTATCCCTCTGGAATTTCAGAAGGATTTCTGGCAGGTCTTGGGGCATGGCCCCCAAGCAGATCTACTCGATTTATGAAACAGTCATAAAATCCCAATGGTCGTGGATGGAGAGGTGGTCTGGTGGACCAAAGCTCTCCAGACAACGGCTAGAGCAAAGCTAACTAGGATTTAGCGACTGGCGCGCTTGACTATTATAGACGCCACGTCAACCACGCCGACCGACGCTCGCGATGGAGACTATCCTTAATATACCCCCTATACACATTTGTTTGGAGTGGGAGGCGAGGAATGTTTCCCACCGACTACTGTCGTTAGAAAACCCGACAAATGGTGGAAGGATCTGGGATCACGCGGCTCTGCTGCGTGAGCTTAGAAATCACCATCCAATCAAATCCATTTCTACGATAATAAGCATGCACAAGCCCTATTAGGTCTTCTTCCCGGAGAAAGACGAAAAGAAAGAGGGTTCTCTGCTTTCTAGAGGCAAGCATTGTCTTATACAAGGATGGCTCCAGAAACCCTAATGGTGTTGGAGCTGGAGTCTTCAGCAGTAGACCGAGGATTGAATTCTCAATCAACCTTGGGATGAATGCTACTATATACCAGGCAGAAGTTTGTGCCCTTGTTCAGTGTGCCAGAGAGCTAATTAATCGTTCCACCACAAATAAAAACATATTGTGTCAGATAGCCAGACGGCGCTAAAAGCTCTAGGCTCCTAACGGATTACCTTAAAACTGGTGAGGAACTGCATCGAGTCCCGAGCACCAACAACAGGTTAACCTAACTCTTGGTGCCGGGGCATCAGGAGGTAGCAGGCAACGAAAAAGCCGACGCCCTCGCTAAAAAAGGGAGCGGAAGCCGGCTTCATAGGACCGGAACCGGTTCTAGGCATCACAAAATCAAATGCTAAAGATACTATTTCCAGCTGGGCAAAGAGCAAGAGTCTCACTGGAATAGCGCTGATGGTCTTATCCACTCTAGAAACTACATAAAGCAGATCCAGGAATCGAGCGGAAAAGACCTGCGCATTCTCACCGGACTGCTAACCGGCCACTGTCGTCTCAACTACAACTTAAACAAGATTGGTCTGTGCAGTTCTCCGGACTGCCACTTTTGCTGCGTGGAAGACGAAACAGCAGAGCATATCCTATGTGCCTGCCCAGCACTGGAGAGGAAAATGCTGGCGATCGTCGGATACGCCCAGCTGGAACCGAACGACTTCAGGCAAGTCTTGCCGTTCACAACCATAGACTTTATCAAGATCTGTGTCTTGTACGACAAACTACAACCATCTAAAGATTGTTAGAGGTATGAGCCACAATAGACCCAGCGAGTGTCGCAGTGGAGGGCTGGTTAAACGGCCCACACATTTTAAACCTAACCTAACCATCCCGCTGGGTTCAACTCCTGCAGAAGTCCGTCTACCACCAGCCAGAAAAGGATATCTGGTGCCTTCGTTCTTGGTACCAGGCTACCGTGGCTTCTGCGAAGTCATTGTTCATTGTTGCTCTATAACAGTGCAACTTGACAGGCTCCCACTATGGTGTGATCAGTGCCATGCCTATACACTGGTAGGCATATTGATTGAAAAGACATCTTGTCAAATGCGCCTCTCGATGTCTTTGGTGGTATGTTCTCCGTTTAACGCTTCCTTCTATATTTCAACCAGGTGTTGAACCGTCGTTTCAGCAGATTTCCCAGCACTTTGATGTTGGTGCGAAAGGGAACTGCCCCAATGACTTTTCTCAGACGTGCCGATCTATTACTCGCTCTATAACTGCAGAAAGATCGTAAGGCTGTTTGGACGAAATGATTTCGCCTGCATGAAGTCCGACTTTCCCGGTTGAGGAATGAACATTACTCCAATGCTTTACAGGCCCTTGATATGCATCCTATAGCCAAACGTGTCCTGACTGAAGATCTATGCGAGATTCGGGAAAGTGCGTCGCAAAGAGGAGATCTAACGCCTCCTTTGCATAAGCAGCTAATACTCCAATCTTCGTGTATAGGTATTGTTTTGCGAACCTTTCTGCGGTGGTTTTCAATGTTTAAGTTCCACCATTGCGTTTTGCCATTCGTTGCTCGCCTTTTGGATTGGTGGGCAGCTAGCTTCAAATTAGTTTTTCCTTGAGGCAGTAACTAGCGGTCTCAATCTCCCTTTCATTGACGCGACGAGACTTCATCTGGCCCAGTCTGGCCACTGGCCGCCAGATAGCCCCTCTCTATAGGAGTATGTGTGCTTGGGGCGTCTGTTTCAGGAACTTTTAACGTTTCCTCGAATCTGAATGTGTCCGTTGTCCAACATGGAGTCTTTTCTTGAAATCAACACTACACATGTGTTGCTCCTGGCCAGTTGTCTGCACACGAGTGTCTAGGTAACCTTTCTGAGCCACATATTGGCCTGGCGATGGGATTAAAAAAAAAAAAACATTAAGTAATAACGTCATAAAAAAAAAAACAAGCAAAGTTCAAACTTGGAAACAGGCCGATACCTACATGAGGAGAACTTAAAAAATTAGAAAACGTGATAGACGAAATAATAGGCAATAAGTACCTGAAGTAACTGTGCTTTATTTTTTCCAATGGTTATTGAAGAAAATAACTTTCCCTGTTATTGAAGAAAATAAATCATGGAGAAACTACAGAAATACTAACACTGATGACTGATGACTGATGGAAATGGGAAACAAAAGAAGACTCCAAGGCTGTCGCAATACAAATCATTCGTTTAGGGTTCTGCTACCCACCAATTACCAGCCAAACTTAAAATGGTGCCCGCGAAAAATGGGGCCTCTTAAATGGGACACTGGCCTAACAGCGGAGGCACGAGCCGACTTGGGTTGGGCCCATTCAATTTGGGGCTTCTCTGATAAGGAGCACATGAGCCCGGTGTCCACTGTGACGTCACTTCCGGTTGGGAACCCGTTTTGGTTATCTACTACTTGCGACATATTTTCTTTTTTATTAACACAAGGCATTTGATATGTTTTAGCCTACAATTAGAATTAGATATTCTACGTAGAGGGTCATTGATTATATTCGAGCCCATACCTACAGCCTTTACTATTTAAGGTATGGGTAGGTATGTAGGTATGGGCTTAAATATAATCAAAGACCCATTATACACTCGGCTTAGATTTTAGAGACCTACACGATTCATTAACAATCTCCCTCGGAACAGCTGTTGAGGTGAGGTAGATTGTGTATTGGATGCGATGAGGGGGAGTAGTTCAATAAATGGATGTTTATATAAGGAGAAACAGTTGGAGCAAGGAGCGATATACAAAAACAGAAGATAATAATTACTAAGGTATCAAAAGAATTATTATTAAGAAAAAAAAAACAAGGGAGCCAGGGTCACAGACGTCAAAGTTTTTGTTTATTCTCATTTTTTGGATATAGGGACCGGGCACAAATTGAAATCCGCGACCCCCCTAGTGGCAGTTTTCATAAGAATTTGTATAATAAACAATTGAGCTTCTGACAAAATTCCAATATACTCTAACCTATGGACGAGACTATGCGTTGTTTTCTTATTTTGTTTACTTATCATTCGTATTTCAAAAAATGGAGTTGGGAATACATTTTTGTTTCCAAAATATGAAATGTATCTACCATGAAGCTGAAGACAAGCAAGCAAGCAAGTTCATGGACATGACGGAACGTCCATCCTGGCCTTAAAACTTTATTGGACTTCTGTCAAAAGCCCAATTGTTTATTATGCAAATTCTTTTCGAAACGGCCGCTAGGGGAATTTGTGACCGGCGCCTATTGGATAGACATTTTTCTTTTCGCCGAGACCGGCCAACACCGAAGGCCGAGAATGTGCTTTTCCACCGAAATACACATACTATTTTTTCTGCGATCGGTTAAATATCTGTTAAATGTTTGTCTTTTTGTTCCAATTGTTCATTCATTGATTCCTTAGCAACTATTGAAACGTAATTAAAATACCAGAATATTGGGTTTTGCGACCTCTGTCAACCAGTCAAAAATGCTGACATTTCTTGTCAATCGCAGAATAAGTTTGTTTGATCAACCAAGGCTAATAAAAACAATAAAAGGAACATAAGCGCTTCACGCTTCACAATGTATACGATAATTGTATATAGGGAAACTCTCCTCATCTCCTATTAGAGCGGTGAGCTTTCAAATTGCAGAGGAGAGTTGTTTTCATGTTTTCAATCACATAATGATCGCAAGAGAACATCCTTACCCTTAATGCTGGAGGCTAGAGACGCATGGATTATGCATCAATAAATTTGAAAATTCTTACCTTACAATTGCAGCTACCATTCTCGTTGCATTGACAATCCCCATTTTGACATTCACTCTCCAGAGTACCGATAGAATGACATAAACATTTTCTGCAATTTGGATATCCGTAATATCCAAAAGCACACCTGTCGCATCTAGTATCTTCATAGCCGAGTTTACACGAACAATTTCCAGAAATTTTGTCGCATTGTAAGGAATTGGAGCCGGATTGGGAGCAATTACAAGCCTTTACAAAAATATTGATTGATTAGTAAAATTAGTTTTTTTTTTGTTTCTAGTCAATTACCTTGCAGCCTATTAAAGGTTCGTAGCCCCACGAGTTCAAAGCACAACGTTCACATTCTTTGCCGATGGATAGGGGTGGACACAGACATTTGCCACCTTTACCACACACGTGCCCTTTTCTATAGCAGGGTTCACATTCTAAAATTACACAATTAAAAGAAAATCCATTATTAGGTACGTGATGGCCTTAATAATAAAATTCTTGTCTTGGTCACGTAATAGCATCATTACCATTTACGAGCACACTTAACAATCCATTTTATTGTCAAATGGCTGATCAGTGTCAACTAAGTATTTTTTCGTGATCTTTGTAAACATGATTTTCTGCGATTGTAAAGATCTATTAGTGATCTTGTTGTTCTAGATCGAGGCTATTATTTATGGGTGGCTGCTGAGGTTATTATTTAGAGATCTTTGATTGAAAGCTTTCTGGGCATAGATATAGGAAGTTTAAAAGTCAATAAATGCAATTTCGTTTGAAATTGCTGATAACGAGCTTTGAATGATGCATAGGATTGACTTTAATTGGCCACAGAACTGATCTTGATCGTATTTTGTTTTTTGAGTGCTCACAATGGGGTAGCCGCAGTAATAGGAAATTTATAGATTAAATAATGTAACTTATTCTTACGTATGCATCCAGTTTCTACAGTTCCATAGTAATCGGGAAGGCACTGATCGCAATTTTGGGCAGTGACTCCAGGTCTGCAGTTACACTGTCCAGTTTCCTGATTGCAAATGCTGTCTATTGAACCGATTTCGTTGCAGTGGCATTTTATACAGTCTTTTTTCAGGGTTTTCCAGTAGCCAGGCTATAATGAAAATTGCAAAACATATTACATTTTCACAATCAATTGAGATTTAGCTGTTTTAAAGCAAATTAAGCTTCTTATATTTATGGTTTTCAAGTCAATTTACAAAAACATAGTGGAAATTTAGAAAAATTGTGTAAGCTCGAAAATGAAGTATTTTTTTGAGGAAAAATTACCTTGCAAACATCACAACTTCTCCCTTCATAATGCGCTTTGCAGATACAGTTACCATTTGCGGGATCACATGAGGAATATTTAGAGCCGTTGGGGTCACAATTGCAAGCTGTAACAGAAAAACATTTCAACTTCACTAAAAAAAATCAACACAGCGTCCATTAAAATTTAAAAATAAACCGTCGAAAAGCAATTTTTCGTTGCAACCATCTGCATAAAGTTTAAAATGCATGAAGACGCGCCGAGACGATCGACTTTTAAAACAAATAGATTAAGTAATTAACGAGGAATTTCAATTTGTTATTTATCGTCAAGTTAAATCACACGCTGAGAACCGACACCTATATTTAAGTGGCATTATTTATTTTGTAGTCAACTTTAAAGTGCCACCTCTTATACCTATACGTTGTAATTATCATTCGAAAAGTGCGTTTATTATTTATTGAGTTATACGTATAGCATTTTTGCATGGATTTTGATAGAGTTAACTTAGAGTTTTGGCCAACAAGATTTTGTTTTAAAGAGTTGTGTCGACTCATACTACTGAAAACTCTTATTTATTTCATACAGAAAAGTACCTATTTACACACTTGCCAAAATACATGTAAGATGTTTGACAACTAAGTACCTACCTACTTGTTTTCTTGTTTCTAAAGCATTGGGTTACTTAGTTTTCACTTCCAATTTGTATAAAGTACGAAAATTGAACATATTTTTTTTGAAACCTAAAATTGAAATTTTGATGAAATTTTTGCTTTCCAGATTTTTGATTTACTCTACTAGAACCATATTAATAGTTACCATGGACTACTTTGCCATCTGGTTATAAATATTTCAATCTTACCAGGATGTGGTATAATTTCAAAGGTATTGTACAAGAAAAGTGGAAAAAAAGGTACCTTTGGGGTATTAGGTATACCTAATCTACGCAATAAGGGCAATTGAATTACTAGCATTTTTACTTTTGTATGTAGTTAATTCTGTTCGTGTTTTGTAGTTATGTTTGTCACTGCCTATAATTTTATGAAATAAAATAGCGGGACTACTAGTATGTGGTCACTGAGATGAATCGGTTAGAAATTTTTGTTGTTCAAATTTGCTTTTTGATATTGTGGTCCAGTGGTCTTGCTGATTAATTTTAGCTGGCGCCTAAATTCTTTTTTGGTTTTTGATGAGTCTACTCAACTGATTAAAGTAGGTACATGACGAAGTGAAAAGTATGCAGTTTTTAGTGTTCATTTGGACTCCTAGGAATTTTACCTTTGTTTTATTCGAGGTTTTATTAGTTCATGTCTTCTGCGGTGTCTTCCATATTTCTAAGAGTAAAAAGCATTTTATGTATGATTTCAGCTTATTAGTAGCCTGTTTGTAGCGAACCAGATTTCAGCTTCTGATTGTGTTTGTTCTGTGATTAATTTTATGTTTTTTCTGTCTCTTGCTGTTGTTATGATTGTTGTGTCGTCGGCAAACAAGGTAAATAAATCTAGTTATATTAATGGGTAGATCGTTAACAAAACCCTAATCTCCATCTTTTTTTTTTTTTAAATCCTAATCCGTCTACACCGGCTTATTGTTTTCTGTCTTTTGAAACATATTGTTTTAGATTTATACTGTTGTATTTTGATTTTCTTTAGTATCCCAATATTATTATCTTTAACCGATAGTTTTTCTCTCCGTCAAATTTGTGATTTGTTGTGCAAACGCTTCGCCATAACTTTGGATTATGTTGGGAGAACTAAAAAAGGGATATATAGTTAGAGATGTACCTCGTTCCTACTTCCACTTCAGAAATTGATTTGATTAACTGGGTTTTTTTTTTTTAATTCAGGAAGCTTGCTTTCTCTTTTGCATTCAGTTGTTGAACGTTTATATTTGCTTTTTTTTCCTTTGATTGTGTTCCTTGCTTCAATAGGGATGACAGTATTTTTTAGATAGCGCATTCACCATCTGCAAGAAGTATGGTAGGTAATGATTACTCCATTTGCGTCTCAAACTCTATATTTTATACATATCTAAGACCAAACTTTGGTTCGACAACTGAAGAAAAGATGGTAAAAGCAACATAAAATTAGTAAATTACACCAACACAACAAAATAAACTTTAATAATTAAATACTGGGAAACATTCACAAAAGTGAGTTTAGCAATTAGAAGAACCAAAAAAGAAAAATGAGAAAAATTTATGACAGACATGGAACTCAACAAATCACGAAAAACATGAAAAAGATCTCTAAACAAGTTCGCCCAAACCCGAAATTCAAAAAGATATTGGAAGAGTTTGACACAAATTTCTGAAACTTACAATATGAAAAACACTGACGATGCAAATACTCGATTTCAGGAAATAGAGGAAGAAATAGCAGAGGAAAAAGTTGAAAATAAAAAACCTGAAAGATAGAAAAGCGCTAGGAAACGACGTCTTTAATAAATGTTCAAAATATAGTGGCGGTAAAGTAATCACAATAGCTATTCACATTACAAGTGCGTTTATGAACATGATTGCACACGAGTTTTGTACCTAGTTGTGTGTTTGTACAAAGTTTTATCTACAAGCGAAAAATAAGAAAATGTTGTTCTATTATACCCTTACATGTTTAACTATGACATTTGTCCATAGAATAAGGTTTATAGTGGGTATAGAATGGACAGTCCCGTTATACGGGTCGGATTACCATTTGTGGCGCCATCTGTTGTCTATGAAATGAGCTCATCCCATTGTAGCAGCTTTTAGAGCAGTTTGCTTCTTATTTTTTTTTAGATTTGCTTTTTATTTATTTTATAATAAAGACACAATTTGATACAAATTTAACAAATAACGGTTTATTACAAAGAAAGAAGAAAATTATGTTGGCTTCTCGAAACTTGTCAACAAAGTCAACACTTAACAACACAGAATTAAATAACAATAATAGCCTTTACACTAAACATAACACTGTGAAAGTTCACAAATACATACAGATAACGCTCTATCATTACGAAACACTTTTTCAACGAACAGAAATATTAAAGCAAAATAAAGGTGGGTTCTAACAGACATTTAATTTAATTTAGCATTTAATATAATTTAATTTAAAAAGTTCACTATACAATACTATATGACGGTGTTCATACAAAATTTTAATTTAAGACATAATATAACTTAATTTAAAAGTTGGCCAACTTTTATCTTTCAAAATTAAATTAAATTAAATTTGGAGTTGATCATTGATTTTCATCAGTTTGATAAGGCAGATGACGGATAATGACATTTTTCTGTATCAGTTAAAAAATTACTGTATGAACGCCACAAAGTAAAATTACATTAAATCTTAAATTATGTTATTATAAAATTAAATAAAATTTCTGTTAGAACCCAGCTTAAGAAGCACAACGCACAAAACATCCCCCCTTAGAAAGGTAAGTGCCGTGTTGAGAACCTGTCTATAAGTTTTCAGCGCCTCTAGTGACTGGGGGGGTAAGCTTTTGTAATTCTGGATTTATTGGCGAATGCAAAACGCAATTAGGGTTCGTTCGGTATCTTATTTGTTCCGGTGGATCGTTTGCACCATTGTTTGATTCTAGCGATTCAACACCACCACTTTAAAGTTTCTACCATTTTTTGGCATAAAATAATTGTGCCAAAAAGAAGAAACTCATAAAATCGGTAGTGTTGAAGCGCCTTCAAGGTAAAATTGACTAAAAATTAAGATGACAAATTTAGATATTTATTAAAGTTTGAAACAGAAAATATTAAAGAATATGGAATTAATTACAATTATTGCGAAACAGTTTTTTTTCATGTAAGTATACATACATAGGTAGGTAATGCTAGTTAAGTTAAAGATAATAAGGACAGTTACAAGAAGTAATGACGTACATTTAACAATAGCTTGATGAAAAACTTAAATCGTAAATAAAATGACAAAAGAGGTCCTTTTCTCACAATCCAAAATCGTTGTTAACCTAACAAGTGAGGAAAGTGTTTCTGCACGTGATGGAAGTTGCACGAATGACAACAAAAAGCAGAGTTCAAACAAGCCTTTAAGTCCAGAAAATACACTTTCCGCATGTGTTAGGTAGAAAGTTTATGTAGTTATACATAATATAAAGCTCATTCAAGAAAATGATTTCGCCTGGATGATAGAATAAATATTTTTGATAATAGTCTATACCCTTTACCACTAGCTTTAAGCAAAGACAACGCCAACAACTTCTCGTCCAATGTAAATCGTCTAGCTTTAGGCTTTTGGTTTTGAGTACGGACTTGGCTTAAAATAAAGCTGTATATCAATGGATTGACGTGGTCTACGAGCCTTTGAAATTTGGTTTATGATGCAAGTTATTCAGCAGTAGAAACTTTGGATTTAAATGACGACAACCTTCTACTGATTCTTCTTAACTTATTGCTGGATTCTATAACTTTGGAATAAAGATATTTTTCCCTTGGGGATAGGAATTTTTTGCCTAGTGACGTTAATGTTCTTTAAAATTTGGCATCGTCTCTCATGACCTGCAAAAAAAAAATAGATCAAGATTGGAGACGAGCTTTTCGCACATTTAGCTTCTAATTTTTCTAGCATTCGACTGCAAGTTTTAGTAATTAGTAGTCTTTTATAGTAGTAGTCCTATTTGAGTTAGGATGTTTTAAAATTCACCTACTCCCAACTGGGTGGTTATTCATTAAGCAATAACACTTAGGTACCTACCAATAAAAGTTTTAAGAGACAAAGTGGGTTGGTGACTTTTTCATGTTTGCAGATGTGATGGTTCCACTTGGTGTAGCAATGTCTGCCCGAATTGCAGAAGTTTCAGTAGATAAAAATTGACGACATGAAGGGCCTGGTTGATCTAAAACAGAAATTTCGTTACCAACGATTCTACCAAAAAAGTTTGGATACATGCATTGTAGAATATGGTGTACCTGTATGTAACCAGGAATATTTTAATTATTGTATCTCCTGATAAAGGAATAAACATTTAAAAAAAAGAAATGAATAATATTAGCTTTGTTCCAACACAGCAGAAAACCGTACAATGTACCGTCACGATTCTGCGCAGAAACTAAAATTGTTATACTGA